TTGCCCAGACTGGAATGCAGTGGCCGCTCCCGGCCACTGCAGCCTCGACCCACTGGGCTCCAAGGTAGGAGAGGGTACCAAAGTTTAGGAAACATGGCAGTGGCCATAGATCAAAGAGCATATGGCCACATCAGAGTCTAGTAAAGCAATGGCAAATGGCTGCTTGAGGTTGAATGCTTTTAAACATTCTCTTTTGATGGGGGCAGGTCTTTAAGGTGGTTGGGTGGTGGTCTGCTCCAAGTCATCACGAAGGGGCAGGTAAGCACAGGTACTGATGTCAGGCGATGGACTGCTGGCATATGGGTGGGCTAGTCACATGATTACTGCCATGGTGATGAGGTCTGTCTGTGTCATGAAGGTCACAAAGGGTTCATTAGGTTAACCTGGGTCTTATGGGTGGAGGCAAGTACTTGAAATAGAAAAGCTAATTAGTACAAAACAAGTTGGGGAGGGGGTTGTAAAACAATTATCAATAGCTACCTGTGATCGGCCTAGCACTAGTGTAATTGATATTAATGGTAAATTCATTGGGGAAAAAAGCTACCTCTAAGAAACTAGTCCTGTCCTTGGCTAGTGATTAGAGGGTAAAGTGAAGTGAACTGCTAGAAAAACATGATAACTAGGCAGTGTTAAAATGGCTGTTTATTGGCTATATTGATTCCATGTTATATCCTTTCAAGAACAGTTTTAGATTTACAGAAAAATTGAGAATATAGTACAGAGATTTCCCACACACCGACACTCAGTTTTTCCTGTTATTAACATTAGTGTGGCCCATTGGTCACAATTAATGCACCAATATCAAAACGTTATTATTAACTAGAGTCTACACTTTCTTTTTTTTTTCTTAAAGAAGGATTTATTGAGAGGACAGAAAAGCTCCCATAGTGGGTGGGGACTCAGAGGGGGGTCGCCCTATACTTTCAATAAAAAGTCTGAATAGATTTCCTTTTTCTGTTGCAGAATTCCATTCCCGATCCCTTATTACACTTAGTCATCATGTCTCCTTAGGGTTCTCTTGGCTTTGACAGTTTCTCAAACTTTCCTTGTTTTTGATGCCCTTTGGGGAGTAGTGGTCAAATATGTTGTAGAATGCCCTTCTATTGGCATTTGTCTGATGTTTTTCTCAGATTCAACTGGAGTTATGGGCTTTGGTGAGGAAGATCACAAAGGTGAAGTGCTGTTCTGATTACATCAAGGATACACACTATCACATGACTGATCACTGCTGACCTTGACAGTGATTGCCTTGCTGAGATGGTACTTTTCAGCTTTCTGCCCTGTAAAGTCCTCCCCTCCCTTCCACCTTTCCTTTCCATATGTCTGTATATGTTATCTTTTTTTTTTTTTTTAAATCAGAGTCTCACTCTGTCGCCCAGGCTGGAGTGCAGTGGCATGCTCACAGCCACCGCAGCCTCGACCTGCTGGGCTCAGGCGAGCCTTCCACCTCAGCCTTCCAAGTAGCTGGAACTACAGGCGTGTACCACCAGCCTGGCTAAGTTTTTGATTTATCATAGAGATGAGGTCTCACCAATGCTGCCAAGACTGGTCTCAAACACCTGTGCTCAGGCAAGCCTCTCACCTCAACCTCCCAAAGTGCCGGGGTTACAGGCGTGAGCCATGGCCCCCAGCAGTATATGATATCTTTTGAAGAACAGAAATTCTTAAATTTTTTTTAAGAGACAGGATCTCATTGTGTTGCTCTGGCTGGAGTGTACTACAGGTATGTTCTATCATGCCTGGCTAATTTTTTTTTTTTTTAGAGACGAATTCTTGTTATGTTACCCAGGTTAGTTTTGAACCCCTGGCCTCAAGGAATCCTTCTACCTTTGCCTCCCAAAGTGCTAGCATTACAGGTGTGAAACTAGCACATCTGGCCAGAAATTCTATATTTTAATTGAGTGGAGGCTGCATGACCTGGGGGCATAGCATGATCTTGGCCTCACGGGACTCCCTGATGGCTGGTTTGCAGAGACCAGACCACATTGCCAGGCTTACTCTGGGATCACTCAGAACTCACTGCTGGAATTAGTAGGGGGGCTGGCGAAAAGAGTTAGAGAAGCAAATGGAATTATGTATTATTTCATATGTTACATCCTGACCTCTAGTTTTGAAACTCAAGAGCCCAGAAGTTGACATCTTTGTTTTCTGCTGCTTCTTTGAGAGTCCTGCCCTCGGGGCAGCAATGGATGGTTGGTGCCTTGCCTATGTGGCCTGTGGGGAAGAAGACCAAGGCTTCTTTTAGGCTAATAAATGGGGTCATAACTTCAGATACTGTATTATCTTGCCACAGACATAGCCACCTCTAAATGCTTCAGTGGAAAAGTTAACAGCACATCACTGTTGTTTACTGAGCACTCGAGATTGAATCAGAAGGGCTGCACTCACAAAGCAGAACTGCTGACGATTCAGGATGTGACCTTGAGTAATATGCCCTTCTCTGATTTCAATCTCTCAATCTATAAAACAAGGAGAAGGCTTCCTACAGTGTTTATCTTGCTAAATTCCAAGGCTATAAGGAGCAGTAGTGCCCCTTTGAGACTTCAGGTGAAAGGGGGCCTTGGATGTAAAGGATAACCTATTGGCCCTTAGCTCAAAAAGGGATGTTATTTCTCAAGACATAAATAGAGTATGAAAGACCATGAGACTGTGAGGTTTTCTTGAGGGGATGAGGAGGAGGGATTTATTTTATATTCATCTATTTATAATATTTTTAGTCTTCCTCAAAGAACTAAGAATACACTAGAAGTCTTTTAGCTCATTATGCCCCTAACTAAGGTTAATTTAAATAAGTTCTTGCAGAGCCTGTGGTTCAAAACCTGTTCTAGGATATGTAGCAAGATGGACAAAGAATGCAATTTTAGTTGGTGTGAAGAGAGATGAATTAATCATGCTTAGAAATGAATTTTTGGCCAAGTATGGTGGCTCATGCCTGCTATCCCAGGACTTCGGGAGGCCAAGGCAGAAGGATCACGAGCTCAGGAGTTTGAGACCAGCCTAGGCAACATAGTGCGACCTCGTATCCACACAAAAAAAAGAAACTTAATTAGCTGGGTACAGTGGCATGTGCCTGTTGTCCCAGCTACTCAGGAGGCCGAGGCAGAAGGATCACCTGAGCCCAAGAGATCGAGGCCTTGGCGAGCCATGATAGTGCCACTGCACTCCAGCTTGGGTGACAGACCCCAGCTCAAAAAAATAATAATTTTTGAAACATGATGAAACTTTTTCAAGGCACTCACATTAGAGTTGATATTTTTGAAATCAACTGCTTTTGACATTTTGGTTCTAATAATTTCACATTCCTAATGGAAAAAAATGTCTCTTCCCTTTTAGAGTTCTTTAAAGTCACACTTGTGCAAATTTTCTTCTGGAAAAATGCAGATTTGAAAGTTAAAAGTTTCCCATTTTCCAAAGTTGAGTGACAAAACCTGGATTTTATTCCCTAAATTGAGAGTGGCTTTGGTTAAGCACAGTATGTTCTAGAAAGATTAAGCTGAGTGTTTTTCCGATTCCAGTTTTCAGTTGGACAAATTCTTCCCAAGGTGGGTCTGCTACCTGGGAAACCCCTGGGGTCCCTCCTTTCAACTCACTCTAATTTTTTTATCCTCAGGTATTTTCTAAAAAGGAAACAGAGACTGGGAACTGAAGACACAGTAAGGCATTTTCCCCCCATCAAGTCTGTCTTACATTTGTACACTGAACAAATGGTCATACACCTTTGATGGTCCCCTGCTTCCTAGCAAATGAAGCGTAGTTCTTTCATGTACAACTCAAGATCCTCAACAAATATGCCCCTGACTGAAAGTTTTAGCTCTCTGTGACCCATTCCCTATATAATCTCTTTTTTTTGTCAAACCAAACAGTGAATGCTCAACTTGACGGGGGCACCTTACACCTTTCGCTGGAATCTCCCCACCTCCTATCCTTGAGTAATATCCATCTTTCAAGGTCATCAGCTGGGGTGTCATTTGAAACCCCCAGATGCTATACTGTGTCCTTCTTGCCTCACATCATAAGTGAAAGACTATAAATTGTGAAGATCTTGGTCTATATAGTATGCCTAGCTCTGAAATAGCCTCACAGAACACCTTGCCCAGATTGGAAACTGAGTGAATAAATGAATGAAGTAATTAACTAATGTTCTGTCCCACCACATCTTATGAATCAGAAAGTCTTTGGAGGTAGGGTTGCCAGATAGTCAGCAAATAAACAAACAGAACGCCCGGTTATATTTGCATTTCAGATGATCAATGATTACTCCTTTTGGTATAAGCTTGTCCCAAAAAATACATGCGACATACTAAAAAATATTTATTGTTTTTATATGAAATTCAAATTTTAACTGAGCGTCCTGTATTTTATCTGGCACCACTCCTTGGAGGGCAGGGGTTCCCCTAGGCGCCTGGCTTCCTCCCAGCAGGTGCTCATCTTCTGGGTAACTTGCTAGAACGAAACCCGAGCCAGCCCCGCCTTTCACAGCTGGCATCCGGAGCGGGGTGGAGCCACACGATCCGGAAAGACGGACACCCTGCTTGGAGACCATCACCGGAAACTGGCCAAAGGGTCTGCAGCACCCGGGGGGCAGCGCCACATCGCGGCTCTCAGGACCCCTCGAATGGCTACGTCGCCCCCTCTGACCACCTGCCCTACCTTCCATCTCGTGACCCTTCATCACGGGCTGGGGGGCGGGAACGCCCGGCTTGCCATTGCTGCCTACCATTGGCAGGGTCTCCCGTCCATTACCTTAGGCCCCGCCCACCACCACTGACGAGGCCCAGGCTTCGTCCCGTCCGTAGCCGCGGCGTAGCTGGCGATTGGTGGAGAAGGCGCCAGGCGTCCCGGCGGAGGCGGCGGAGGGACGGGCCTCGGGATTCGCGACGAGCCGGAGCGCGTCACCCCTATCGCTGCGGTGGTCGCCCTGTCCTACGGGCCCGCTCTGTGTGCTGCGGCCGCCGCGGCACCATGACTGTGTTTTTCGTGCTCCTGTCCTTGTTGGTGGCGGGTGAGGACCCGGGGGCGGTCGGGACGTGCTCCGCGAAGGCCCTGAGCCTCGGGGGTCGGGGGCGGCGGGGGCGGGTGGTAGTTAGGCGGGTGCCGCAGTGCGGGCAGCCAGTGGTGGCGTCGCCTAGACTGCCTCCCTCTTGGCCTCTTTCCCCGATCGGCCGGTGGCCGTGCGGCCTGACGAGGGGCCGGGGCCAGGCCCAGGGCCGTGCTGCGTGGGGACTCCTGATCCGGCCTCCACCAGCCTCCTCTTTGAGGAAGGCGCGTCCGCCCGCGCTGCTGTCGACCTCCTGTCAGCCCGGCCTCTTCCGGCTTGAGAGGCCCTGCGGAGGACAGGGGAGGATTTCTCAATGAGCCGCTGAACCGCAGCCCTCTGCGAGGGAGAGAAGGCTGACTTAGCTGCCGTCAGCTGCCACGAATTTTTGCATTTGTATGGAGTCTCCTTTTCTAACTGGATGCAGTAATGGGTGAAATCCCCTCCCCTCCCGTTGTTTATTTCAGGACGCCAAAAGTGAGATGGGTCATTGTTTTTATATGGCTGTTTCTTCGGGCGAATAAAAAGCACCTCTCGATAGTTTGTCACAGTTCCCAGTTTAAAGGATTCGGAGACTGGGATGTGAGTCACGTCCTTAGGGTCACATGTCAAGAAATGGTAGCTTTCTGTGTGGAAGCTGGGTTCTGTAACATTCACCAAGAAGAGTGGGAGTCAGCTAATATTTGGTCTATTATCGTGTTATCGTAACAATCCTTGGAAGAGGGTATCATCCTTGTTTTGCAAAATGATCAAACCTAAATGAATTATCCAACACCAAACAGGTAGTAAGTAGCAAAGCTGGATTTGAACCCAGATCAGCTGGTGCCGAAGGCGTGAGGTTTTCCAATATATGTGTTGTGTGACACAAGTAACGCGATTACTGTGTGAGAATGTGTTTAGTGATGGTGGCTGAGACTGAGGTACAGACCCTGAACAAGAGGCCAAGTTGAAAGCAACTTGCAGCTGGGACTCGGTGGCTCAGCCTGCAATCCCACGCTTTGGGGGGCTGAGGTGAGTGGATTGCCCGAGCCCGCTGGTTCAAGACCCGCCTGGCCAATTTGGCGAGATCTCATCTCTACAAGAAATAAAAAAATCAACCGGGTGTGGTAGCACGCACCTGTAGTTCCAGCTACTCGGAAGGCTGAGGCGGAAAGATCGCCGGAGCCCAGCAGGTCGAGGCTGCGGTGGCCAGGATGGCCACTGCACTCCAGTCTGGGCGACAGAGTGAGACTCCAACTCAAAAAAAAAAACAGAAAAAGAAAGCAACTTGAAGGAAGAACTGGTGGGTACTCTGGTTGCCAGTGTGTCTGTTAAAAACTTGAGCCTCTGCTATGTCAGTTGCTGGGGGTTCCTGCTTTTGGAGTGCTGATTTAATTCTGCAGGAGGTATCAAATCAGTGAAGTACTTGAACTCTGCCGGTCTCATCAGTCCCTGGAGGTGCCCAGTGTTGTGTGTTGGTGACAGTTACATTTGTTTTCATGTCCCAAAAGTTTTAGGGTTCTTTTTTCCTTTTGAATCTTCTGTTTCTGGTTCTGGAAAGGTCACTCTGATCTATTGGATACTTTGAGGGAATTTTTAATTTTAATTCAGTTTTTTTTGGAGGGCCATCAGAGTCTCACTCTGTCATCCAAGCCAGAGTGCAGTGGCATGCTCACATCCACCATAGCCTGGACTTACTAGGCTCAGGGGATCCTTCTGCCTCAACCTTCCAAGTAGCTGGAACCACAGGCATGTGCCACCATGCCTGGCTAATTTTTTGATTTATTGTAGAGATGAGGTCTCGCCATGTTGCTCAGACTGGTCTCAAATCCCTGAGCTCAGGCAATCCTCTCGCCTCTGCCTCCCAAAGTTCTGGGATTATAGGCATGAGCCACCACGCCTGGCTAATTCAGTTTTTGAATTTAAAAATACTCCCTTTGATCTGGTGGTTTAAGTGGACATCTATTGAAATTACACGTTTTAATATTATGACTGGTAGTATTTTGATTTAGTAAGATATGGGGTTTTTTTGTTTGGTTTTGGTCTGAGATAAAATAATTTCTTCTGTACATGGTTTGAACATACTTTCCTTACTAGACTAGTCTAATTCATACAAAACAAGAATCTGATCCTGTCAACTTCTGCATTGCTCAGTCTTGTCAGATGAGGTTAAGTTATTATTTTCCACAGTGACTAAATGTGATGTAATGGAAAACATCTTTAAGAGTTCTGACTTCTCTATTTGAGAAAAAAGAAATCCTTTAAAACAGTGTTACCAAACAAGAGAAAGAGAACTAGGGAACTAGAGAGGATAGGAACTAGGGTTATGAATACCATGTCATGAGGAATGTTTAAAAAAATTCAGATATTTAGCCTGGAGAGGAAGGGGATGTCCAATAGAAGAGGGAGTTGATTTGACATTGATGCTTCTGAGGACAAAAGTGTGGACACCCCCCCCCCCCTTTTTGAGTCAGGGGTCTCTCTCTGTTGCCCAGGCTGGAGTGACACAATCATGACTCACCGCAGCCTTGACCACCTGGGCTCAGGCAAGCCTTCTGCCTTAGCCTCCCGAGAAACTGGGACCACAGGTGCACACCACCATGCCTGGCTAATGTTTTGACTTTTTTTGTAGAGACATGGTCTCACTATGCTGTGTAGGCAGGTCTCTAACTCCTGAGCTCAAGCAGTCCTCCTGCCTCGGCCTCCCAAAGTGCTGGGATTACAGGTGTGCGCCACCGTCCCCCCCCAACCGCATTTTAAAAAATTGACTGATTCCACCATCCACCTTTCATAGATCATAGTATGGTAAGGTAGAGTTCCCAGAGGGAAGGACACACCCTCTAGCCCAGAGTGGGGAGGCTGAGGAAACGTCCCCTGGAGAGATGCCTCCCAGGGCAAATATGTGAAAGGTCGGGGTGAAAAGAAAAGGCATTTGAAACAAAACAGCATGTGTAAAAGCACAAGGACAGATCATTTGGTGGGGCTGGAATGTATAGCCATTAAGGTGGGAAGATTCTAGAAATAAGGTTGCTGGAGGTGCCTTGGGTGATATGTTTTGGGTTTTGCCTTGGAGGCTCTGGGCAGTGAGTGAAGACATTTTGGGCAGAAGGGTGAATGAACAGGTCTGTATTTTGAAAAGGGGACGGGAAGACTGGATGGAGGGAGGTGGCGTGGTCAGTCATACGGTAGTTCTGGCGAACCTGGCAGGGCCTGAAGAGTGTTCACTGGACCCAGAAGGGAAAGGATTTGTGAGATAATATGGAAGAAAAAACAAAATTGCCGGAATTCAGTGGTTAATTAGCTGTGGTGCTGAGGAAGGCTTTGAAGACAACTGATTCCAGCTGCTGTGTGGAAGGTGGCATCATTCTTCCAGATAGAGAATCCAGGAGAAGCCCATGGGAAGATGGTGAATTCTGTTTTGAGCCTGTTGAGTCTGAAGCACCACAGGACTTAGAAGGAAATGCTCAGCAGACCATTGGGCATGCAGGTCTAAGGCTCAAAGGATAGCCAGACTGGAAAGAAGAATTTGGGAGCCCCCCAGTGTGTTCTTGGTGTTTGCAGTCCTAGGAGTGATGGGCTCAGCCAGGCTAAGTCGTGTAGGATAGGAAGGTGGTGAGGGTCAGGACCAGAGTTCTCAGGTCTCCAGAGTGGAGTATGCTGGGTGATGTGTTTGGATGCCAGGAGAATGTACTAGAACTTCCATTTTTAGCTATTTCATCTCATTCTTTTTTGAATAATAATGGTCAAATATTTTTGGTGGAATATCCCTCAATTTGGGTTTGTCTGATTTTTTTCCCCCTCATGATTAGATTGGAAGAATACTACACAAGTATCTCATCCTTTCATTTTTGTTTTACTTGAGTCAGGCTCTCATTCTGTCACCCAAGCTGGATTATAGTGGCACAATCATAGCTCACTATAGTCTCAAACTCCTGAGCGCAAATAATCCTCCTGTCTCAGCCTCCTGAGCAGCTGGGATTATAGGCGTATACCACCATACCCAGCTAATTTTTTAGTTTTGTTTTTTTGTGTGTGGAAATGGAGTCTTGCTTTGTGCCCAGGCTGGTCTCAAACTCCTGGCCTCAAGTGATCCCCCTGCCTTGGCCTCCCAGTGCCAGGACTATAGCAGTGAGCCACTACTTTGAAATCTAAAAAATGTAGACACCACTGTTTAAAGGTCAGACACTGTTTAAAGAGAACAACACTGAAAAGCGGCTAGGGGGAGCCAGGGGCCCTGGCTTCACAAAGGCTAAGGCCAGGTGTTTTCTTTTTTCTTTCTTTTTCTTTTTTTTTTGAGTTGGAGTCTCACTCTGTGGCCCAGACTGGAGTGCAGTGGCCGTTCCCAGCCACCGCAGCCTCAACCTACTGGGCTCGGGCGATCTATCCACCTCAGCCTTCCGTGTAGCTGGAATTACATTACAGGCGCACGCTACCACACCTGGCTAATTTTTTGATTTATTGTAGAGATGAGGGCTCACCAAGTTGCCCAGGCAGGTCTCGAACCTGCGGGCTCAGGCAATCCACTCACCTCAGCTTCCCAAGGCGCGGGATTACAGGCTGAGCCACCGAGTCCAGCTTGGCCAGGTGTTTTCAAGGAGGGAGGAGCCAGTATCAGGTGCTTTGGGAAGTTAAGTAAATTAAGGGCTGAAAATTGCCTTTCGGAGTTGGTGAGTCTTTTCGGTGGAATGGTGACATCAAAAGGTGTGGACCAGGTAGTAAATGGGAGATGAAGAAGTAAAGAAACAAATGATAGTTTCCTACTCTCCCAGGATTCTTCCTCTCAAGGGGAGCAGAGGCTTATAACTGGTAGTGACTGGCAGGACCAAAGGAGGCTTGTTTTTGTGGTTTTAGTTTTATTTATTTTTGAGTTGGAGGCTCTCTGTCACCCAAGCTGGAGTGTAGTGACGTGATCACAAATTACTGCATCCTCGACCTCTTGGGCTCGGGTGGTCTGATCCTCCTGCCTCAGCTACTCCAGGTGCTGGGACTACAGGCGTGTGCCACCACACCTGGCTGATTTGTATGTGAGTGTGTATATATAATTTTTTGTAGAGATGAGGTCTTACTGTGTTGCCCAGGCTAGTCTTGAACTCCTGGGCTCAAGCAATCTTCCCTCCTTGGCTTCCCAAAGTGCTGGGATTACAGGTGTGAGCCATTGCACCTGGCCCAAAATATGATTCTTTAAATGTATATGGTACATGGGCGGCAGAGTGAGACTCCAACTCAAAAAAAAAAAAATGTGTATGGTACTTGAAAAGTATAGATCTCCTGCTGGCCCATTTTTCTTAGAGTTTGCAGTACCACTATTCCAGGAATTGAAATGTTGATCAGTTGCAGAAGACTATTTAATTCTGTTAATTTCTTGTCTGCCTTTGGCTACAACAGTTTGGAAATTTCTGCTCTGGCAGCTGTGCTGAATTGAAACTCATAACTCTTCAAGTCGTATCAGCACCATCCTGAGGCCTTTTATTTACTGTCAATACTGTAACCCCAAAGCATTTACTGTAGCTTCTGACTTTATTCCCCTGCCCTATAAAAGGTACTTTCCTTAGTTGAAGAGAATAGCACTGATGTTTTTCTAAAGTCTGATTCTCCCATACTAGGCATGGCCAAGATTTGTTTTGAACATGGAGTTCATCTTTTCATAAGAACCCAGAAGTTTCCATTAGCTACTTGTCCCTGTGTAAGCTAGACCTCGCTGGGTTAATATGTAACATGTGAAGAGGCCAGATACCTCATCCTTAGCCTTGGAGGCCTTGGTAGTTCCTTTATTCTCTTCCTTCATCTTTTAATCCCAGGCCCCAAATCCTTAGACTAGTTGACTGTATCATCACAGAATTCCTTTTCTCACCCTCTTGATATGTCAGCTGCAAACACTATTTCCTGGACTTCGTTGCTAAAGTCTGAAGTATTTATATTTCCATGGTAACATGTTTATCCCCCTGACAGTCATCATCCCATAGGGATGAAAGGAAAGATGTGACCCATCCTAAGATATACTAACCTGCCAGAGTCTTATCGTGAAATATTAGGAACTTTATAAACTTGCATTTTGTAGAGAGGGTTGATAGTAGACATACCTTAGATTTTCATGTTTCTTCCTTTTTGGTCTGTGCCAGTGCTTTGTGGTTTCTTAAATTTTGGAGAAATACCACTGATTTCTTTCTTTTTATTTTTTTTGAGTCAGAGTCTCACTCTGTCGCCCAGGCTGGAGTGCAGTGGCACGCTCACAGCCACTGCAGCCTCGACCTGCTGGCCTCAGGCAATCCTTCCGCCTCAGCCTTCCAAGTAGTTGGAACTACAGGCACGCGCCACCACGCCTGGCTAATTTTTTTGACTTATTGTGGAGATGAGGTCTCACCAAATTGCCCAGGCCGGTCTCGAACCTGTGAGCTCAGGTAATAATCCTCTCACCTTGGCCTCCCAAAGTGCTGGAATTACAGGTGTGAGCCACTGCACCTGGCCAATTACTAAGTCTTGCCAAATTGCGACATGCCTTTCTGAAGGGCCATCTGCAGGGAGGTATCTAGATCCTTAGGAGAATCCTGTTGTGTAGTTGTGCCTTTGTTCCGGCAGAATGTAAACTCTTAGAGTGATACTTTGAAAAAGAATTTGTGACTGGTTAGGAGTCAGCATTTGGTTGAATCATAATTTAGTATGCAAAGTCAGTGGAAAATGGGGTAACATGTATTATATTTAATCATTGTCAAGGTAGGTGTAAAAGATTTAGGATGCAAGCTGAGCTCGGTGGCTCAGCCTGTAATCCCGCACCTTTGGGAGGCTGAGGTGAGTGGATTGCCTGAGCCCGCGGATTCAAGACCTGCCTGGGCAACTTGGTGAGACCTCATCTCTACAATAAATCAAAAAATTAGCCGGGCATGGTAGCGCGCATCTGTAGTCCCAGCTACTTGGAAGGCTGAGGTGGAAGGATCGCCGGAGCCCAGCAGGTTGA